CCCATCCCCCTGAATCATTTAGGCTGGAAAAAAGCTGTGAGATCACCGAGTCCAATCCTTCCCCCAGTGCTGCCAGGCCACCACTGACCATGTCCCCAGGTGCCACATCCACAGCCACTTTTATAATTCCACCTGCTCTTTCCTTCTGCCTCAAAACCACGATTTAGTGCATGGCATCCATCCAGGGGTTGGGAGAAATGATCTTTAATGCCCTTCCCAACCCAGACCATTCCATGACTCCGTGACTGTGGAGCAGGCAGAAGTCTGGGATGCACTGGGGACGTCCCCACGTGAACACAATTCCCCTCAGCCTTGTGTTCTGCACCCAAGATGTGACATTTGGGCAGTCCTGCCCTGGGAGTGTTTCCTCCTTGCAGCTGAGTAGGAAACACTCAAAGAACCACTTCCTGTGCTGTCGGTGGGGCAGGATGAAAGTTGCTGTGAGTTTTGCATTTCTCTGAGCCCTGAGAGCCTCAGCAGAGAGCAAACAGCACGTGGCACTTGCTCTGTGCTACCAGAGGGAATCTCCTGATCTTTAAAGATTTACCATTTCCCCCTGTTTACAGTGCAAAAAAAAAAAAAACACAATTACAACCCCCAGGCTGACAATTCCCAACACCACACCCCCCCCCCCCCCAAACAAACCCCAGAGCTTCTCATTTCTCAGAAGTCACAGGAACGCTCTTTTAAAGGCACAACACCTGAGCGGGGCTGCCAGCTCACATTTCAGCTTGCCTGGAACAAAGCAAGGAGGCAGTGGAGCCCTGGCAGCCCCTGAGCCTCCTCTTTCTTCCATTCCCCTTCCCTGGTGGCAGATGGCAGCTTTGCAGGGGTGTTAAATCTGCTCACAGCTAACGGGGGGGTGTTGCTTCTTCGGATGCTCCATCCTTTTCCACAGGAACAACCCAACAGTCAAGAGACTAAAATGTGACTGGGGGTAAAAAAAAAAAAAATAATAAAAAAAAAAATTTAAAATGACACCACCTACATCCCCCAACCCTCTCTCAAATAAACAAGGTTGTTTACTATGTTTTCTCATGTCTTTTGTCAGTTTAAGAGTTGAACCCAGTGTGCTGTTCTCTGCCAGGCAGCCCAGGAATGCTGAAATATGCAGGGTGGGAGATGCCCTGATTTTCTTCAGGCTGTTTGTTCAGAGGAGGAGACACAATCCCTGCCCTGAAGTGCTCACAGCTCAAAGAGAGGAAGGAATAAACAGTCCATGGGACAGAAGATGGAATAAACCATCTCTGGGATCTCTTAACTCCTAGACAAAGTGGGTCAGGTGTGTTGTGCAGGTCTCAGGTGCTGTTTTATTGAGTTTTCCACCCCCAAAAGCAGTGTGGTTTCTGCAGCAGCACCATCATTTTATGTTTTCCCCGTTTGTCAAAAGCTTGGCAGTGTCTGGGAAGGTCCAGCTGGCTGACAAAGCCACCAAGGAGGCAAATCCAGAATGGCTCCAGCTGCTGTGTGGAATTGAAAGCCAAGCCTGGAGCAGGAGCTTGCAGCACTCTTAGGGACAGGGGGATGGGGATTTGGAGAGCACTTTTCACCCAGGACACCCCAGTCTGCACCCCCAACACCCTTACCCGTGAAACACCCTGGGGTTTTTGCACAAAACGCTCTTTTTTTCAGTGGAATTGTTGTTAGAAATAAGCAGAGGGGCTTTCTGTGGCAAATATTGAGGGTTACACACGCTCCAGGCCCCGTGTCAGATGTGTGCAGGATGTGACTGGGGGGTTGGGTGGGGGCAGCCAGCAGTTATAAAATGGCCTGATATTTGGTCACTCACATGACTCTCAGCTTTGCTCCAGAACTGAAAATTGAGACCTGTCTGTGTGACTCTTTTTCCATCCCGTCAGCAGCTGAACCTCGTGTCAGCTCCGAGCGCTGCACCTGCTCAGAGCAGAACCCCAGAGCAGCTCCAAACGCTGCTGAGCCTTCGAGTGGCCCATGGTCAGATGAGATTCTGCCCTCCCTGCCTGCAGGGAGAAGTTTTGGGTTTAATCCTAGCACCTGGAGTGCATTCGGTTGCAGAATAAAGGTTCACTCATCCTAAACATGCAGATTTCACCATCAAAATCACCATCGACATCAAAGTGCTTCTGCCCCAACCCATCTGGGTGGAGCCCTCATCTCCACAGTCCTGCTCTTGTCCCTTTTTGGCCTCTCGTGATTTTCCTACAAGCTGTGGTCAGGGAAAATCCCCTTGCAGTGGATCAGTTCTGAAGGAAGAGGGCTGGAAGGCAGCTGGCCCCGGGCTGTGCTCACCTGGCTGAGCTCTGGGAACAGGCTCTGCTATGCAGTGTCAGGATGAATGAGCACACAGGAGAGGCTCAGCTGCATGGAAGGAGTGCTCCCACCCACGTAGCAGACACAGCAGCACCTTGATCTGGCACCAAGTGACAGCCCAGCTGTTCACTGCTCTCAGTCACCCCTGCGGGCTGTGACCTTCCCTTCCAGGCTGGAGGAAATGGGGTGGCAGGGATCCCAGCGAGGTCACAGCTTGGCTCTGGCTCAGCTGCAGGCTCCATTTACTGCAGGGTTCATTGTGAGCCCTTCCAGCTCCGTGCTGCTGCAGATGTCAGCTCACATGGGGCTCCTTTCTCCTGGAGAACGGGGCAGAATTTCCTCCCAATATTCCTGTATTGCTTCCCCTCCACTTCCAATTCACTGTTATCACCCGTCCAACAACGAGCTCAGCTAAGAACCCAAGGAATTAGACTGGGATTTGCTCGTACCACACTGCACCACGGCTCTGTAAACTGGTTTATAACTCTGCTCATCCCAGGGCTGGCTCAGAGCACAGCCTCACGACTGCTCTGCCTGATAATGGCTCGCTCCTGCTCTTCCTGAATAATTTCTGGGGTGTTCCAGCAAGGCTGGGCTCTGAGTATTTAACAGTGAAGTGTGACACAGCCATGCTGGCAGCCAGGAGAACAGGGGAATACCGGGCAGATAAGACTCTCACGCTGAAATGTTAAGATAATTTTTTTTATCTAAAAGGGAGGAGGGGGATTTCCCACTTCTGCTAAATGCCTTTTGGCTCGCCATCAAGAGGGAATTAAGCTCAGTAATACCCACCAACGTCTTGCTTGCAGTAACTTGTGTCCTCAGATCTCTCCTTCTCCTTCAAAAATCAGTGAGATTGAACTCTAGATTTTAAACTGTACTTGCTATGAGTTAATTACAAGCCAGACCTCTGCTCCCATTGATTTCACGTGTCGTTGCAATCTTATCTTTGAAATCTGCATTACACTCCTGCCCTCAGCCTGGGCTCACAGCAAGGAAAAGCCCAGCCCAGATGAACCATGGCTCTGTTAATCCCTCCTGAAGGCCAGGGTTTAAATCTCTCTGACCCAGCTGTCAAAACTTACACTAAGATGAATAACTAAACTCTTCCAAATGCTTTAAAAATAGTTAAGGCCACGTCCATGCTTTTTCCAAGGTCTCTCAATAAAAATGTAAGAGCAGCACCCACACAAGTGTTTGAGGAAAGCAGAAGTTTGACTTCATTTTACCAATAAAACTCAGTCCTCTCTGCTGAGCCAGAACTCAGGCTTGGATGCTTCTCGATGTGGCTTAAGCCACCTAAAATAAAAGCCCAGGAGCCTTGGGCATCCTCTGGAGTTGATGCAGATCTTTATTCAGACAACCTGAGATCTGAGCTTGAGAGGTTTTGTGCTTAAAAGCAGAAGCAAACACTCTGGAGTGCTTTGAAGATGATGCACAGAGTGGTGGGACTTACTGGCACACATTGTGGTTAAAGTACACATGCACTAAGGAAGGGAAATTAGAATTAGGACTGGCTAACAGAAATGTTAATGAATGTGCAAAGGTGAGATTTTATTCATCAAGCTCCTATCAGTGTGGTCGGCAAGACCTACAAATATGTTGTAGGACAGGTTTGTGTTTCCAGAGGCAGCCTTTGCACACAATTTCCTGCTGGCTGAACCATTGCACCCCACAGACCCCCCATGATAATTCACTGGGTGACTGAGATGCATTTTTCAGTTTTATTGAGTGATGTTTGTCTCAAGTCTCGTGTTCTTTCCCAAACCAACAAGCTCTCATGGTTTCTACTTCTTATTCTGATGGTTTGTACTGTAGAGAGGGGGAGAAAAATAAAGAAGAAAGCAAACCACACATTGGCCACAAATGGCTGCTAAACTTCAAATATCTACTGTAGGAGCATTGTGTCTGTGTGGATAAATGTCTGCATATGCCTGGATATATCTAGAAAATAGGTATTTTCTGTGTATTTGTACAGCTACCAGCCCTAAGGACCCTCAGGGATTTTCAGCATTACAGATCTGTTTTTGTTTGGATAGATTTTCATCTGCCTCAGGATGTTTTGGAGGAGCTGCAGAGTTACAGAAGTGCTGCAGGGATGGAAGAAGCCATTTCCTTTCCCTCCCCAGGTTCAGGAGTGCAGAGGAGACAAAACTGCCCCTGTGCTGGGTCCTGACAGCTCCCCTGGGACTGGGAGAAGGCAGCAAGGAGAAAACCCAGAAACCAGTGCTTGGGTGCAAGAAGGGGCCTCCACTCTCTTCTACCACTCTCTTCTGACTTGTAAAGTTGATGGAGATACTGAAAGTCAGAAGTGATCAAGAAACCAGAAGAACATGACTTAGAAAAGGTCAGAGCAGTTCTAAAACTTGCACATTTCAGGAGAAGGAGAATCATTGTTCCTCTCCTTTGAGTGCACCATGAAGAGCGGGGGGAGAGGGAGGAAGACCCAAAAATCCTGCATTTCAACATTTCTCTTCACCTAAGGTGGGCCAGCAGCCAAATCACCTGTCACCAGAGCAGTGCTGTCACCAGAGCAGGGCTGCAAGCAGAGCTGACCCCAGAAATAAGCACTGCTGGCAGATTTACAGCTCCACATTTCTGACCTTTGTTTCCTGCCCTGAGCAGGAACAGTTTCCTGCTGTGCTCCCTCCGACGCTCCCGGGAGAGGGAAGGGATGGAAAGCAAGCCAGGGGCTGTTTCTGGGATGTGTTCAGTGCTCTGAGCCTCCACACCATGGGAGTATGAGATTCTGCAAAAGCAGAGAGCTTGAAAAAGGAAAATACTTGTAAAAAATGCCGAGGAGCACGGCTGGGAAGCGTTGATGTGGTGGGGAGGAAAGGTGGCCACGTGCTCCCAGTGATGCTGAACGGGCTCTGGGGACAGGGCTCTGCTCTGCAGCTGGCTGGGGGCTCACAGTGGCCATGGCCACCTCCACATCTGCTCTTCTTGCTTCCCCAAACCTCTGCAGAGGTGTCCCCTGGCATGGGGAGCCTGCTGGGGTGACGGTGACCCGGAGCTGGGTGCTCACAGGGATTCGGGAGCATCCTCAAAGTCAAACCCAAAGATGATTCAGGGCTCCCTGCAAACTTTAAGCAGTGCCAGCAAAGCACAGAACCCTCTGAGAGCCAGAGGACTGGGCTTGGTGGGTGTTTGCTGTGTGGAACCATTCTGGACACATGCAGAGTGGGGAAATGACTCTGTTCTTACCAGGCTGTGCTCAGCTTGTTCAGGGAGGCAGAAACAAAATATTCCTTTACCTCAGTCCGTGCCATTCACTGAGATCAATGGCACGTTATTATCAATGGCATAAATATATGTTTAGAACCTAAAAGTCCTTCTCTGCCTGCCCCAACAGATCCCATTCAGCCACCAGCACAGGAGATTCATTGTCACCAATTACTGCAAACATTTCCACGTTCCTTTCTCAGCCTGGCCTTCTGAGCAGCTGAAGCCCTGCCAATCTCCTGGCCAGGCTTATCACATTTCCAGAGCTCACTGGGATACCAGCAGCACACAAGCCAGGCAGGAAAATCAATGCTTCCAAAGGCTGCTGGATCCAAGGGAACGATTCCTCTTCGAGGCAGCGTGCTCTGAATGAGGCTGGATAAAGGCGATTGATTTTTCAGGGAGAGGAGCTGCGTCTTTGGCTGGGCTTGAAAATGAGTTGTTTAGAGGTAAAAGCAAAAAAAAAAAAAAAAAATCCATGCTGGCTCGGGGAAGGTGCTTGTGGCCGTGCAGAGGGTGCAGGGATGAGGCTCCTCCTCTAATGAGGGGAATTGAGAGGGGCTGTGCTGCAGACACAGGAGTGCTCTGCGTGAGAAACGAGACGGGGAGAGCTGATAACGAGAATGAAGAACTTCCTTTGATTATTGCCTCTCATTTCCTATAATGCAATCTACATCTTGAAAGAAAGCTCTTGTGTTCCATGTTAGATCCCCCTCCCTCCTCCACGTGGTCAGAAGATCTTAAGCAGCAGCATTGAAAGGTTAGCCTGAAGGAGGTAGAATGTAAACCTCTTTTTTTTTTTTTTCCTGAATTATGAGATGCAGTGTATCACCACAGGTACAAGAGGAGCCAGTTCAGATGTGCAGCCAAATCTGATAGGGCAGGAAAGTGCAGAACTTGGCTGTGGGAGCAGCCAAGACAGTGCTGAGAGAATCAACGGGAGGGGATGGAATTGTTGTCTGGATGCCTGAATCCTTTTTAAAATCTCACCCCAAATCGCCACTGAAAGCAGCTACTGAATTCCTAGATTATGTCAGACATCCCATCCCAGGTTGTGTGCTCAGACTGGACTGGTGATTTAGCTTTGGGCAAAGGACAGGCTCAGCGTGCCACGAGCAGGTGCAGATTTTGGATGCTCCCTTCTCAGTTGTGGAGGGTTTGAGGAGGGTGGGATGCACCTGGCAGCGCTCACACACGCCTGCTTTGCCATGCTGAAACCCGAAAAATTGACAGCCAGTTGGGAAAACAGAAGCTTAATCCTTCTGTCCTCGCTGCAGAGGGGGATGGAGATAACACTTATCACCCTGCTGATGGCAGAAAAGCTGCTGGAAATTTCTCTGCCTTCCTCACCCTGCGGTGGGAGCAGAAGAGCCACAGCTCCTCCAGGGCAATGCCTGTGCTCAAAACCCTGCTCCTTTCACAAGGAGATGAGGGCCATGGGCACAGCAGCGAGCAGAGCCAGAGGATGGAATTGCACATTTCAGACCAAACAGGATGCGCCAACACATCAGAGAAAAACCCTCCCTGACCAACACCCAGGAGGAAATGAAATGAGATAATCCAGATAACCCAACCGAGCAGCTCCAGTGTGGGATGGCAGTGAGCTCACGCTAACACCAGCACCAAAGGACTCCCAGCAAAGCTCCACCCTGCTCTGCACTGAAAACCAAAACTGTCCCCAGGCTGTGCTGAGTGAAACCAACTGAGCTGCTCATGTGTTTGAACTTGAGCTGCACCTTTGAATCCTCTGCCAGGTTGGCACCCAGATCCATCCTGGGTTCTTTCCCTGAGGTGGGACCCGCATGTGGGGACCTGTGTGGCTGCTGGGAGCTTTCCCTCTGCCCAACTTTGCCCTAAACTTCAAAAATCACAGGAATGTTTATCCCTTAAACATCCCTCAGCAGCTCCCAAACCTGGCTGGGATGCTGCTGATATTCTCTGCTTGTTTTACCACCACCACCACCACCACAAAAGCCACAGTTTTCAGGAATTCTCATTGCAACCAAAAACTTGTCTCTGCTTTGAGTCATACCTTGAAGCAAAGGGACAATTATCTAATCAAAACACTCAATCCCATTTTCATAAGCTCATCTAAATTGTTCAACTGCTTCAGATTACTTCAGTGATTAGAGAGATATTCCACAAATAAACTGCCTGAGTGTTCCTGACACTCAGAACTAATGTGCTGCAAGCAAGGGGAAGATAAAGCAGCATGGAAAAAGGATTCCTTCCTTACCATCACTTACACCCAGCCTGAGAAACCACAAAATTTCACGTCTATTACTGAAATGAAAGTCACATCAAAGGTCCTGGAAGGTTTGGGGATGTGCTGCAGCAAAATTGAGATAATATCCAGTGGGTGGAAGGTTGAGGTGGATGCCTGGAACAGCAGCTAATTTCCACCTAAGAGCACATTTTGGGGTTATTTATGGCCTGATGGTAAATCCAAATCACCCAGCTCCAACCCCAGTGCTGCCAGAGCCTCTCTTTGTGTCCTCAGGCAAAAAACTTAAAATGCTTTCATGTTCAGGGAGGTGCTTAATTTGCAGAGACACTGAGCATCCCTTAGCCAAGATTTCCCAGAGTGGCTGCTGACTCCAGCTCATCCATTCTGGACTTGCAGAAAGCCTTGGCTTCCAGACACTGCAAGGACTCAGGTTTCATAATTACTTCCTTCCAGTGAATGAACCCAAACCCCAGCAACACAACTTCCTCCTGGGTGCTGCTAAGTTCGATTTTTAGGGGATTTTTTTTTCTTTTTGCTTTTGGTGATCCAAGGAGGAATCCTGCCCTTTTTATGGTCCAGACACAACTCCTGTGCCCCACCACTGTCACAGCTCACATCTTTGATGGATTTATCCTCCAGAACACCCATGAGACAGGCAATTACTGCACTGCTGAAGCCAAAAAAGGCAGCACCCTGCTCTTGGAGCTGGCTGTGGCTCCAGGCACAAAGGAAGATGCTTCTTCTGGGCTGGTGCCTCAGTTGTGTCATTCATTTCAGCTTTCTGCGAGATCTGAAAAGGTTTTCAAGTGACTTTTTGCTGTCAGAAAGGATTAAACAATCCCTGTGAGTGTCCTCCCCACTCCCACGGAGGCACGAGAGGGTTTTGGGTGCTGGGTTTGGGTTGGGTGCTCTGGCACTCACTGCTCTCATCCCTCCCCATGCCTGCCTGTGAGGTGACAGCTCTGCCATCCTGCTCCCCCAAAACAAGCTGCTGACAGCAAATATGGAAAATTCCTCAGCTCTCATCCAGGGAAATCCCATGCAAGCTCCTGGTCCTCTGCTTGAAAGCAGCAGCTCCAGGAGAATTTTATTTCAGTTTTTCACAGAGATTGGCAGGGGTGAGCAGAGGGAGGAAATATTAACATGGCAATCCTGTTGCCATGCTTTGGGATCCCAGAATTTACTTCCAAACCCAGCCCTGCCAACCTGGCCTCAGGCTCTTTGGGGATGACACACTCCTGTGAAAGATTCTTCCTTTTCTCTGGGCAGCCTTAGCCCTGCCCTTTGAAAGTTCCCTTTGCAGCAGATGGGTCTTTCTGAACACCCAGAACCAGCACAGAAATCAGAGGCTGCTCCCTGGAGCTGCCCAGGAGAAGCTGGGAAGGATCTCAGCAGGTCCTGTGCCCTTGGTCAGGCTGAGTCACAGCAGAAGCCTGGCAGGACACAGCCAGGGTGATGCACCAATTCCTCCACGTGGGATGCACTTCCACAGGAGTTACAGGCTGTGCCAATAAAAGCTGGCAAATTTTAATAGGAATATGTGAGTCCAGCTGAATCCCAGGCACACTCTGCACTTCCAGCACATCATCCTTCCCCCTGCAATTGCCAGGGGCTGAAAGTCTTTTGATCTCAGCGAGGATGAGCAGCTTTGGGGCAGGAAGTGGAGGAAGCTCGGAGATCCCCGAAGTCAGTCAGGGTGTTTGTAGGGAGTTCAATGCTCTGTGATAGCATCTGATGAGCTTCTTTGGGAAGCTGGGTGATGAAATGAAGAGTCCTCATAAAAGCTGACCTTCCCATGCCAGTAAAAAATTTTACCTCAGGGAGAAAACAGGAAATACCAGGGGGGAGCAGGTCGTTCCCCCCCTGCAAATCAAACTCTTTTTACCAAATCTAAGCAAGACTTTAAAATTTCCCCAAACAGCTGGTGTCAGGTTGGTGTGAGGGGTTCTGATTGTGCAGCTCAGACCTCACGACAGAGATTAAGTGGTGGCTGAACAGGACAGAGGGTGGATTCCCCTGTGTTTGCTGTGGTTCTGGAAGGGATCAGCAGCTGTGCTGTGCCATCACAGCTCTGGGGCTCTCTGGGCCCTTCCTGACTCATCCTCTGCTGTGCTTGGCTGATGTGACACCCAAATCATCAGCGTTCCCACGGATCCAGCTGCCTGGAAAAGCAGGATTATGTGCCTGGAAAAGCAGGATTATGTGCCCCAGCTCCAAGCAGGGAGCTGGAGTCACTATTTATAAAATACTGCATTGCCCCAAAACATAAATGTGCTCTGAAACACCTGAGTTTATATTTTCCTTCCCAGGGGCTTTGGTGCTGACTCTCATTTATTTGGTTTGACTCTTATTTATGCCCAGGCTTTTTAGCATTCTCTGGGTATAAAATGGATATAAAATACCCATTTCTCTAAAGGAAATTTTGCTAGCAATGAAAGTTGGGTTATTTCTGGGGAAGATGCTCAGCTGCTGTGTGTTATTATTGCTCCAACAAAGGAAATGGTGCTGGGCTGATTTACACTGCTGGAAGGCTTTGCCCCTCAGAACATGAATGCATTTATGATCCAGCTATGAAGAGACTGTAAAAGGAGCAGAAATGTGATTTGTAAGGTGCAGCTGTAAACTCCATTTACTCCCAGGCTTGCTCCTGTTGCCCATGGACTGGTGTGAATATGAACCAGCTCCAAATCTGGGTTAGCTGGAGATTTCTTTGAATGGAGCCTGGGAGAACTGGCTTCTCCCTGGCTAATATATTGTGATCTGACACTTACTGGGGCTTGGCAGCTCCTCTCAGAAGGAAATATCGATTGTGAGGCAAAAATCCAATATAATTGCAGAACAAGGGAGCAGGACATCATTGACACCACTTAGAGCCTGCAGCTCTGGAGAGCCCTTTGTCTCCAGTGGATGGCAAATGTTAATTAAGGAGCCCTCTCTGCCATCAGGAGCCCCCAGGTATTGTCTCAAGCTGCATTTTTCTGTCTGTAAAATGGGAATGGTGTTTATCTGGGAGTAGCTGCTCCTCATGCAGCTCTGGATTTACCCATCAGTCTAACTCACTGTAACCACTGGGATAAAAAGGGATTTTGGAGGCAATGCTGGGATCAGGGCTTGGCTTCTTTCTTCCTTCTGGAGGGTCTTTCTGGCTCCCATGTAGTGTCAGCTCCTGGAGCAGGGAGGATGTTTACCTTTCCTCCTTGCACAACGGGGCTGTGCTACATCAATTCAGGTTTCTGCTCACAGGGGTTTCATCTCAGCACTAACTCAGGGCTTGAAATTTGCATCATGAAACTGCAAACCACTCTCAGTAAGATGGGGAAGGGCTCAGAAGAGCAGCACCTCATCGATTTCAGGTCCTCCCAGGGCCATTTAATGCCTGCTGGGGTGGAAATGTTTGGGACATCTTGGTCTCAGCCACCCCAGTATGTGCTGAGGGGCTTGGCCGAGTTACCCCATTAATGGGATGAGTCATGGAAGAACTTGCTGGATTTCATTAAGCACAAGGGAAAGAAAATAATCGTTTTTATGCATCAGGAGATGAGAAATCTCCCCTAAAACACCCCCAGCTCTACACTGGCAAATGATGTCACAGTCAGCAGCCCCAAATGATTAACTCTGCACAATCATGGTGATGCTCTCATCACTAATACTTCATGAAAGGGTGGAAAGTGGCACTTGGCTTGTGTCTGCTAATGGCAAGGGGTGAGAGGTGGGAGTGAATCAGTTAAAACCTCTTTCCATGCCAGGCTGTGGGTGTCTAACAGAGCTCCCAATCTTTGGGCTTAGCACAGAGGCCAGATATCCCAAGGTTTGCTCAGCCACATCCTTCCAACAGCATTCCCAAGGTGTTCTGCTGACAGGGACATTGCAAGGTGCTGGCAACGCCAGAACTCAGCCTCAAGGGCACAGATTTGGTGTCTGGGGAAAGCAGAGACATCAAACACATCTCCTCCCTCATTCCAGGCTCAATTTGTAATTACTGGTTTTCTGTTTCAATTCCATTCCTGTCCTGACCATACCTGAAGGATTTTGTCATACCTGCACAGGCAGCTGTGTTCTTTCGGGAATCTTTGTGAGAAATGGGAATCCTGAGGCTTCCCAGGGAATGGAGGAGCCCTCCTGCTCCCCAGGTGTGTGAGGCTGGTGTGTCAGCTCTGTACCATGAGTTGTGGGGGGGTTCAGGAGCACCTCAGGCCCCACCTTTGGCTGCTGGAGAAAATTTTAAGAGTGGGTTTAAAGGTACAGCAACTTATGAACACGGACAAGAGGTTTCAAACACTGTTTATGTTATGGCAATTTCAGCAATTCCCTCCATTTCTCAGCTTTTTTTTCCTTTTCCTCTCCACTTTGCTGCTGTCCAGCCTCATCCTTTGTGCACAACCAGAACGTGATGGGGACAGAAAAACGCCCAGGACTCTCTTGGGGTGTGTTTGTGCAGGGGGTGAGCGAGCCCCAGCGTGGCAGGGCAGCCCATTGTGGAGCACAAAGGCTGCAGAGAGCCCTGGTGCTGGAATCCAAAACGCTGTCAGCTGCTGAAGCACAGCTCCTTTGATGACTCTGCTTGTTGAGGATAATTAGACTGGTGCAGCACAGACACACACACGGATGTCTCTATTCTTTTTGCAATTGCACAGCACATGCTGTGAATCCGTGATGAGCTCTTAGTCAAAACCCAGGGCAGCGTTTTCAACGCTGAGCAAAATCTGGGAGGCCAAATTCACTTTCAAAAGTGGCTTAAAAACACAAAAGTGTCCTCAGTAGCTAGCAGGGTTAGTATATGATATTTAAAAATACCGAGTTTTTAAGATTTTTAATTTTTTTTTTTCTCATGATCTTTCCAAGAATGGAATTCCCTCCTGACTTCTGCCAGTCCCGAGGGCTTGCAGCATCCTCTGAGCACAGGCTCAGAAAGCAGCAGCAAATAATCCAAGGATGAACTTCCAGAGGGCTTTACAAGAGGCACAATTCTGCAGGAAACAGCCCAACAGGCTGCCACTGCCCAAGGGGGAAGGAGAACCAGCATTTAGTGCCAACAAGGCTCCATTCAAACATGCTGGATATCTGAAATCCTGACTCCCTCCTGCCACTCTTTGTCTTGAGAATCTCATCAGTACATTTAAGCTGGCTCCTGACAGTGCTATCAGGTCTGGAGATAGGTGAAGAGAAAGAAAAAAGAGACAGAAAAGATAACACTGGGATCTGTTTCCCTCGAAGCTGATAGGGAGCTTGAAAGAGAATTGCAAGGTAAGGATCAAGTTTTTAACACAGAAGGCACAGAGCAATTTTTCAGGCTCCCTCAGTGACATGTGAGGTCTGGGTTGCACTTTGTGAGCTCCTTTTCTTCCTAGAGCAGAGGGTAGGATCAAGTTCAGGACCTTGGCTCCGAGACAAGGAAATCATCAGAGGAACGGAAGCCTAAGGAAATGTTTTCTTGTCACCATGTAATTTTAATACCAAAACAAACCGAGTACTCAGGGACCAGGAAACTCTCTGACATCTCAGTCAGCGTTTGCCAAAGTCAGACAGCCTTGAAAACCACATCTCAGCAATCCAGGGAATGCTGGCTGCTGGCTGACCCAGGACCTCACTGCACATGGACATGCTGCTCAAACACTCAAATACGAGATCCCAGTGAAGTGTGGGCTGTGAGGGCACTAGAAAGGAGTTTGCTTTTTGTTTTCCTCCCTGAACACACACGAGCTCGTTCTCGGGGCCAGCAAGTCCTGCAGGGACTCCCTGACCTTGGCTGAGCAATCTTCGTGCAGGGCTGCTCTGTCCTTAAACTCTGTGCTCGATGTTTGTAGCAGCAATGTTTTCTCCGTGGATATCAGCCCCGAATATCTGATTGTTCCACGGCTCCCAGCCATCAGATTTGATTAATGGCAGTTGTGTGTCCACTTGATTAATGGCAGGTCTGTGCCCAGCATCCTGAATCACTGAGGTAACACCAAGCACTGCAGCTGCCTTTATCATTTTACAGAGTGATCTTATCACAGCAACGACTCCTTTGCCTCTGATAAGAGATCTCCCTTCCTCTGAAAATGTTGTACCATGTCATGGAAATAGTTGTTCTACTTCCACCAGATCTGAGTCTTGTCATGAACAGACTGAAACTCTACAGATTCAGGTGCAAGTATCAGCCTAGCTATAGATTTGATGTCTAAGCTTCTCTGTGCCTTGGTTTTCAGAATATATTGTGGAAATAAAGAGCCCTGTGTGGTTTATCACTTTAGATCTTTAAAGTAAGGAACTGTCTCATGGAGATACCCCAGACACACCGGAGCCACTGGCACGGAACAACCTGAATCCTGCAGGAATCATCTCAGTCCCACAGCAGAAATCTGCAGTAAAGCCAATGGAAAAAAAAAATTAAAATCCATGTGCAGAGCAGCCACGGGACTGAGTCCCAAATGGATGTTTCTGAAGCCTTCTGAGCACCTCCCTGGCAGCTGCTGCTTTATCTCCCTGTCCCTGTCCTGCAGACCTGCTGGATCCCCTCCAGCACAGATGGACAGAACTGCTCTGAGTGCACAAACCAGAGAGTTCAGTGCTCACACTGCTCCAATCTCACCCCTAAACCCTGACGTGGGCACAGAGCTGAGTGCAGGGGCCAGGGGCTTGTGCAAGTGACTTCCAGAACTTGTCCCTCTCTCACCATTTGGGAACAGGTCACAAAGCCTTCCTGGGAAGCTCCTGCTCACAAATGCCCGTGGGCAGGACTGGAAATGAAAGTATTTTGCTCAGATGGTTTCTCTGCCACAATGCAGGGCTCAGTCCGAGCCCCAGACTCCCCACCTTGAGTGATCAGCACAGACAGAGCATGAGGGGAAGCTTTTCCCTAAACCCTCGTGGCTGCAACACCTGGATTTTCCATTCGAGAGTTCAAGATTCCCTCCAGTGCTGCTAAACTTGGAAATCTCTCTCAATGGAGCCTCCCAAGCTGCTGCTTCCAGCAACATTTCTGCCCATCAGCTCCTTCCCTTGGGATGGGGTTTTCCTCCACGCCCTGGGCCAGGAGAGTCACTGGGAATCAGGAAAATCCTTCAACTGCTTGGGCTCAGGTGGGACTGGGGAATGGTTTTGGGCAGGATGAGTTTCAGCCAGGAGTATTTGCAGAAAACAAACACCATGGAGGAAGGGAAACCACTTCACAATTGAAAATGATGAGCAGCACTTCTCTTTCACGCAGTAATTTCCCAAACCCAGCTCCAACCCTAGAGGAAGGAGCGACTCCCAGCCTTGCTGTGCTGAAATCCTGAGATGTTGCTAAGTCTGTTACTAAGCAAAACATGTCTTAGCAGGATAAAATCCCTTTCCAAACACCAGAGAATCTTTTACTGTTTGTAAACTGGATCTGAGCTTCATTTCTTCAACAAAAATGAAACCTTTTATACTTGTAAATTCTCTGAGAAGGTAAATCCAAGTCGGACTGGTTTTATCCAGGTCCAGGGGAATTAACTCCTCCATGAACACAGAGTTAAACCCTTTTGCAGGCCCAGATGAGGGGATGGAACATCCATGTAGTTTCGGAAAGCTCTGCCACCTGTGTCATCTCTTCTGCTTATCAGAGACAGCACAGTGACAGAAAAAGCACAATATCTCCAATTTAAGTGTTCTGGTTATGGGCAGCGATTTACTCAGCCTGAGTAATGGCAGGCACCAGGAAATTATCTTTATTTTCTTAGGGCCTGGATCTCTTCTGAAGCAGCATCTCAGAGCTGTGGCTTGAGTTCAGAGCTGTACACAGCAATTGAAACATCTTAAATTTTATGCACATATGTGAACCCAGAATTAAAACAAAGACAGCAGGATTAATTCTTTTTCCTTATGCTAGAATTTTAACTTTCTGGTTTTGAGCATATTTTGGAGGAGTTTAAAGGTTGACATGAAATTTTTAAAACTGCAGATTCTGGAGCCACATTGATGCAGGAAAAATAAGTTTTAATAATTCAAGTTTGGTCAAATGTCTCCTTCCATCCTGAATGAAACTGCAGTCCATCACTAATTTTTTTTCAATTTTAGACTTTTATAGACACATTTTGGATATTTTTTAAAAAATTGTTTCTCCATGCACAGGAGTTGTAAATGATCCCCTGTGGTTTTGATGGCCTATAAATTACTTTGTGCTTTTCTTCTCTCTGTTCTCAGGGATATACAGGAATTCCAAATGATAGTGGGAGGTGCTGGCAGGCAGACTGGATGACAATTAGGTGGAACCACTGATGGGAGATTCATAACAAGATGATAAATAATATTTTGGGGCAACTGGGAAATAATATTTGTATGACTCTTTCTGGAGGAATCCTCTTGTTGTGTTTAGGGCATTGAAACACTGGGGGTGTGATCAAACCTTTGTGTCAACAAGGGTAAAATGTTTTCCTCAGTGCCCAAATTGCAAAATGGGAATTAGAACATCACCTTTGCCTTCCTTGCTTGCTCCAATCAGAAACTTCAGGGGATAGGGACAGCCTGTGGGACCAGACAGCACGTAACCTAATGGGTTAATTGCAAAATAAAATAATAATAATAATAATAATAATGGCTGTGTGCTGGCAAGAGCCAGCAGGGCAGAGCAGCAGCTCGTGGTGATGGTTCAAAGGGATGACACACTGCAGTGCTCAGGTAAAAGCTTCCAAAAGTGGTTTGAACATCACCTTGTGATTCAGAGGAGCCCTGAACTCAAGCTGGTGCTGGGAAGAAGGAAAACAGAAGGGCCTGGGCCAAAAAAAAAATCTTCAGAGGGGGGAATGGGGAAAATCTCCAAGGTCTCAGTGTGAGCTGTGGGGCAGTGACATGGGTGCAGATCCATTCATTTCAGTAGAATCTCAGTTCACAAAGGAAGGACACATCCTTTGATGGGCCCTTCATGCCCAGTCCCCCATAAACCACCTGCAGATGGACAAATAAAGGCTTTTTAAAGAACCCCTGGAGGTGAACCCAAGATCCATGGCAGTTTTGTATTTGCTACCTGCCATCCTCTCTTGGCTCCTGCCTGCCTCAGCCCAATTTCTCCCCTCAGCTGAGCCATCCAGCACCACTTGGAAATCACATTTAACCACATTTACCTTTGATTATTTTAACACACACCGGCTAGAGCTGAAAAGTCAGGCAATGTGAGTTCTGCCCAGGATGTCACTCCTCAATACCACCCCGGGGATTCCAATTCCAGCTCACCCCTGTGTGTGTGACCCTGCCTCTGTGTCCCCTGCCCCAATCAGTCCCCCCAGCTCTACCCAAGAGCCCGGAGGCTGCTGCTGCCAGCAGCCATGGTATTTTGTGACATGCCTGACAGACTTGTCTGACAACTTGGAGGTTTGTTTTGCATAAGCCACCCAAACAGATGGTCACCACTTTTAAGTACCAGCCTGGCTCGTGTTTGTGTGCACAGAACTGAAATCCCATCTCACTGAATTCCCTGGCTCCTGCTGGGAATTGTGGCTTTGGGGAAGGAAACAGAGGTGGGAGAGTTCTGGGGGAAAACTCTCCAGGGCTTTAAGATTTCTCCATGCCATATCTGGCAGGGAGATGTTTTTACCTCGCTGGCATCTTGGTAATTCTCATTCCCTCTTACAGAGAAATCCTCTGTAAGGACTTTCCCACTTACAAAGCATCCTCTGGACCATTAGGGAATGTATTTTTTTCCATGTGCTCCTTTTCTCTCAAGCTCCCAAACCTGTGTTCCATCCACATCCTACCCTTGGTGGCACTGCTTGGATTTTATTTGCTTTATTTCTGTTTTGCTTCTTGTGTGAATTTTAATGATGAATTATTTGTAGCATGACCAGCAGGGTGGAACAGGGGCACTCATTGCTCCTTCAGGTGGGATGAGAGGTGCCTGTCCCAGCAGAGAGCTGAGTTGTCACACAGGGTTATCCTGAACTCAAAATCAAGACAGCTTTACCCCAATAAATACCTTTTACATTTAGGGGTATTTTGCTCCTTTTTCTGGCTTGCTCCCTGTGTTTAACCTTCTCTGCTCTGCTGAGTTATCCCACAGGGTTATCCTGAACTCAATATCACGACAGCTTTATTTCTCTGCCCGGTTGCATTTCCAATAAATACTTTTTGCATTTAGGGATATTTTGCCTATTTTTTCGGGCTTGCTCCCTGTTTTAACCTTCTCTCCTTTGCACGATGAAGCTCTGAGTACATTTGAACAAATGTCAGTGCTTTTTGGGCAGGAATGTGACCCATAGACACAGTTCCTGAGTCAGGGAAGAGCAGGGCCACCTGGCAGCCTTGATGGCACTGTTGTGCAGGTAAGAACCACTTTCATTCATAGGATCAAGCTGTTTTTTTCTTTTATTTTTATTCCAGCTTCACTGAAAGATTCACATCTTTTCTTCCAATCGAGCTAAGCATGAAGTCACCAGAGCTCTGCCCTGCTCTTCATTTGCATTCACTGTGTCTGAAAGCTGTGTGCTGAGCTCAGTACATAACTGACAGCCATAAGGAGTGCAAAGCAGCACCGTGGAACACAAAAATAAGATTTCCTGCATGTGCTGGTGGATCTGTGCAATCCCACGAATCCACAAGGAACATATGCCCTTAAACTGCATGTGCCTGTCTATATTTATAAAAAAAACCCTGTGACAAGACAGGCTGCAAAACCCCGGAGTTCTGATTGGTATTAAGAACAAACAGAAAACTTAGGGAGATCAAGGAACCATCCCAATCCCCACCGGCTTCATTTGCATCCCAAAACGAGCAGTCCCACTTCAGGAGTCACTTTAGTTATCATTAGTTTGCTGCCTGATTAATTTAAAGCATGAACACACTCAGGGAGATTACACCAGGGCATGAATTGGACGAGAAAAAACCGAACCACTTCGGGCTACACATTGAAATCGACTTCTGCTGCTCCGTTGTTTATAGAGTGACTTGTACACGGCTTAAAGAAAATCCCCCCCGGGTGTCCGAGCTAAAGCAATTTCAGTTTGGCTGGCAAGAGCTGCCTCCCTGGCGATCCCCAACTTCGGGACCACACGGGAGGGCTGCGGGGACGGGAGCCGGGGGCTCCTGCCACCGGGAGATGAGAACGGAGCATCCCGCGGGTCCTCCAGCATCCCCGGGCATCCCCCTGCCCCGGAGAGCATCCCCTGCTCCAGAAGAACATCCTCTGCCCCGGGAGAGCATCCCCTGCCCCGGGAGAATATCCCCCTGCCCCGGGGGAGCATCCCCCTGCCCCGGGAGAGCATCTCTCTGCTCCAGGAGAGCATCCCCCTGCTCCGGGAGAGCATCTCTCTGCTCCAGGAGAGCATCCCCCTGCTCCGGGAGAGCATCTCTCTGCTCCAGGAGAGCATCCCCCTGCCTCAGGAGAGCATCCCCTGCTCCAGGAGAGCGTTCCCCGCTGTCCGGGCCGTTCTGAGAGGACATCCCCAGGCCGTATCCCCCTCAGCCCCGGAGAACATCGCACCGCTGCCCCGGCAGGGCATCCCCCGGCTCTGAGAGCGCATCCCCCCGCTACCGGCAGAGCGTTCCCCGCTTCCCTGGCTGCTCCGAGAAGGCATCTCCGGGCCGCTCCGGGAGCGTATCCCCTCGCAGCCGGGCAAACATCCCTTTGCAGCCGGGAGAGCACTGCCCGCTGCCGGGAGAGCATCCCCCGCTGTCCGGGCCGCTCCGGCAGAGCATCCCCCTGCTCCGGGAGCGCATTTCCCTCTCCGGGAGAGCATCCCCCCGCTCCAGGAGTGCATTTCCCTCTCCGGGAGCGCATTTCCCTCCCCGGCAGAGCATCCCCCCGCTCCGGGAGCGCATTTCCCTCTCCGGGAGCGCATTTCCCTCCCCGGCAGAGCATCCCCCCGCTCCGGGAGCGCATCCTCCTGCTCCGGGAGCGCATTTCTCTCTCCAGGAGCTCACCCCCCGGCTCCGGGAGCTCATCCCCCCTCTCCGGCAGTGCATCCCCGCCTCTTCCCGGGCTGGATCCCCGGCTCCCCGGCCCCGCGTCCGGCCCCGCGCCGCTCCGGAGCGGCTCAGCCGAGCAGCGCCCGCCGCTTCTCTCTGCCTCTTTCTCTCTCTCCCCTCCGTCCGCAAAGCGAAAGAAAGGAGGGGGAAAACGCCGCGGGGCAGCGACTCACGCCCGTGCTTTGGGGAAGCCCATGGAGAGCAGGATTTCCAGCGACGAGCCGTGTTTGATGGTGCCGGCGCGGTGCTGGCGGTTCCGCCGGGGGATGACTTTGCTGTAGAGCTCCTCTCTGGCAGCCATGGCGAGCGCGGCGGGCTGGGCCATCAGCGCGCAGCCATCGCCGCCCGCGCAGGGCCATGCACGCCGAGGGCTCGGGGACAGCGCCCGGCGACAGCCACACACACACACACACACACACAGACACACACAGACACGGCCGGGGAGCCGCGGTGACACCGCCCACAGCGGCGCGCCCCGCGCCCGCCCCCCGGCACGGAGCGCCCGCGGGATGCGGGAGAGAGGCCGGGATGCGCGGGAGGGGGAGGGAGAAATGGAGGTTTTCCTTTTTTTATTAAAAAAAAAAAAA